CCATAGGTTTTGCAACCCATGGCCAAATGGGTAATTTGGGCAAGTGAGCAGGCGGTTAGCCACTTGGGTTGTAACCCACACAGTGTTATCTCCGCGGAAGGGGGGACTAGTGGGTTGCAACCTCGGTACTGGTAGGTAACAACTTACATGGCTGAACACCCAAGCCCCACGCCCAGACAACCCTTCCCCAGAAATAGCTCCCCTGGTCGATGTTTTAACAAAGGTTGGTGCCTTTGTTTTCCACTCACCAGGCAAACATGATAAGTTTTTGCTGGGGTCCCTTTTTTCCAGCCTAGTGCCATGATGCAGATGCCTGCTGTCCAGTTTTCCAGGAGGCTTTGCAGGCCGTGCTGCGCTGCACCGCCAGCGAGGCCGGAGTGGATCTCCTGTGGTGGCGGGTGGTGGGGGGGGGTGGGGGGCTTGACAAACATGGACTCAAAATGTGTTGGTACCCTCGCTTGAACGGTTGGTTTCCCATTCTTTGTTTGAAAATTGATTGGGAGCCTAAATTGGGCTTTTCTTTCAAATGGCCAAGGAGACATGGAACTTATATGATCCTTGTAGTGGTATGGGGGTAGTATGGGGTGGTGGAGCGGTCCTGGCAGTTCCCTTGTGGTTTTGTTAACCAGCTTGTGGTTGCCAATTTCACTTTCTTTGCGATGCTCAAAGGAGACGCACCCAAAACCTCTATTGGTCTACATGGTTTAATAGGGTTTGCCATGTAGATCTTTAGAATTCTGTGTGCCATGCTCAAACGACACTTTTACTTGGGGTTAGGGACGGTTATCCACCTGGCAAGGATCACGAATCACCACTCGCCATCATATCGATTCCTAACAGAACCATCACCCAATCGGCAACCCCCCCGTTAAAAAAAAGAGAAGGAGTTTTGACCATGGCTCAGGAGATTGAGACAAACAAATCCATGGGTTTCGGCAACAAAACAGCTCTCTCTCTCTCTCTCTTGCATCAGAGGTAAGCTCCTCGACCAAAAACCACAAAACGGAGAAACTGTCCCATGGGTTTCAGGCGCTCACGGCCAGAGCACACCACGGAAACAGCCACGCCGCTGGCGACCGAAAGGCAGCGGCCGGGGCGTTGCGCCGGCTGTTTGGGGCCTTGGTGAAACCCGCAGGTGCGCTCGCGGCGTCGGGGTGTCGGACCAGGGTGGGGTTGTGCGTTTTTGGGGCACCTCCCGCAAAACAGCGGTTTTTTTCTGTGGGTTTCCCTTCAGAACCACGAAAAAGGTAACCCTCCCAAACAAAAAGGGGTTTCCGCCCAAAAGCAAGTGGTTTTCCTCTTGGTTTCCCTCTACAACCACCAAAAAGGGGGGTACCCTCGAATGGGAATAGGAATGGCCGGCGGGAAAACTTATTGCGGGTCTGATGTCAACTCTCAGCACGTTTTGTGTTTTTATTTTGATTGCTTGAGCAAACTCATGGATTGCAATTAGGGGCTATGACGCTATTTTGAGGTTCTGAGTCTGAGCTCAAGGGGTGCCCTTCTTCTGGTTTTGTTGGAGGAGGTTTCCCTTTAAAATCAACCACAACGAGAGGGTAACGCTTTGGGGCGTTGCGGAAGCCATCAAGATGGTCCAGAGATATCCCGAAATCCAAGTGTGGACATGCGATTGAGCCAGCAGCTTGATGTCTTCCGAACCAATCACATGTGTGTAAAAACGAGTAAGCACCTTTGGGATTGGTTTAAATGGCAGCTCCGACGAGGCCACTGCCATTTCTCATCAAACCGCCTTGTCCTTTCGTTTGCCCCCTCAAAGGGCATTAGTTTTAGGGGGTGCCGTGGGGCCTGTGCTGGAACCCTCTAAAGGCACATTCAAAGCCCAGGCGATGAAGCGTAGCAGACAGTCCCAAGCATAAATAGTTGTGGATATCCGGCCTTTAAAGTCTTTACATTGGTGAGGGACCTTTAGCAATCTTTGATTGTGACCAGTGTTGTGCGAGTCGCGAGGCCTGCGCGACTGCCTGCGCGACTGGGCCCGTGCATTGGGGCGCCTTGGCCTCGTGTGCTTTAGCTTCCTTTTGCCAAAGTGATTTGGCGATTCGTTTGATTTTCCCAGGTTGTTTTTAAGGGACATCACTAAAGACTTGGGTTCTGAATGTTTTTTTTTTTTTTGTAGTGGCAGCGAAGGGAAGCTCAGATTTCCCCTTTCGGGCACTTTCAGAAGGTTGCCACGGAAACAGATGTGGCCTCAGTGCCTCCTCAGCGATTTTTCCGGTGCCTCTGATCCTCACGGGCCATTCTTAACCTGCTCACCCCGCCTTGCAGCGGAAGAGATCAAGAGGACTCTCCCCGTTTGCTGGGGGTGGTGATGGAGGTGGTGGTGGGGGTTTCTGTAGGTTTAATGTAGTCAGGCATGGCCGCCAATCGAAACGGGTTGATCCTCCGAAATGGAAGGTCGCAGGGTTCGAACTTGTGTTGCGCAGCCCCACCTGGAGACGCGCCCCCCCCCCCCCCAACTGGTGCAGGAGTTCTCCATTCGCAGTTTTTTTCTTTTGGGGATCGCAGTGGAACGCCCAGGAGCCCGGAAACTGCGGAGGCCAAGGTCTTTGCCAGCCCGGGCCTTGAACATTTTTCTTTTTCGGGTCGAACAAGTTTCCATATTTTGCCACATGTGTTTGAGAAGTTTGGGCTCCATGGTGGACAAAATCTGCACCACGCATGAGTCGGGATGGATGAGACTACAAAAGCTAGATCATGCTCCACTACTGGTGCCGATGGATCCGTGTGGATTTTTGTTGTCTATCCACAGTACTTGCCAGCGCACCAACGTGGGTGTGTTTCTTCCGAAAGTTGGGTTGCAACCCCAGTCACTCAGAGGGCGCTTCCCCATGTCAGGCCTCTTTAGTTTGAAGGATTCTTTAGGGCTGCAACGGGCCCAACCAACAGCGCATGGGACAAATGCAGGGTTTGCACTTTCCCTGCGTACTGTATCTTTGGGGCATAAACCCTGCGAATTGACTATGGTGTTCCGATTATCAACGGAAGTTTAGAAGTAACTTCCGTGTTACGGACGCTGATTGAAAGGTGCGGAACGGGTGCGGAACGGTCTCGGACCCGGGCCCATTGGCACGGACGCGCTCGCTTTTCGCGATGTCAGCTTTGCAGGCGCAGTGTTTTGGCGAGCTGAGGTACAGAGCGTGGCAGGCGCAGCATTTATTTTGTTTCGTTGGCGTTTAGATTTCGTGGCAGGCGAGGCACTTTGGCAGCCTTGCGCAAGGTCAGGTATAGATTTGATGTGGCACGGTCGCGCGCGCGCTGGCGCGTGCAGCTTTCGTAGCAGGCGCAGCATTTTCGCAAGGTCAGGTGCAGATTTCGTGGCAGGCGCAGCGTTTTCGCCAGGTCAAGTGCAAATTGCGTGGCAGGCGCAACACTTTCGCAAGGCCAGGCGGTTGGTGTGGTTGACAGGAGAAGCGCTTGCCTCCTTGTGGGCAGCATCCCCGGTGTCTGATGCAACGCAGGAAAGTGCAGTGGGAGATGTAAGGTTGGTTGCGTGGACAGACTATTGGATAGGCAAATAGCTAGACAGAGAGACAGAGAGATAGATGGATGGATGGATGGATGGATGGATGGATAGATAGATAGGGAGAGAGAGAGACCGAAAAAAAGAAAGAAAGAAAAAAAGAAAGAAAGATAGACAGACAAACAGATAGATAGGTATACTCGCTAGATAGAGAGATAGATAAATAGAAAGACTAGCTAGATAGATGACTGGTAGAAAATAGATAAAGAGGATAAATAAGCTAGATAGACGGACTCAGCCAGATGTAAGTTGGCCCGAGTGTTGGAATAGAATGAGATGCAACAGAGGGCCTGGAGCAACGACAGACAGACAGACAGACAGACAGACAGACAGATAGGTGGATAGAGATAGAGAGATAGATAGATAGATTGATGAATAGGTGTAAGAGATACACAAACAAGAGATAAACAAATTAGGGATGTAGCTGAGCAGCCTAGCTCGAGAGCTAGCTAGTTGGCGCGAGAGAGAGAGAGAGAGAGAGAGAGAGAGTGAGAGAGAGAGAGGTCCGAACCCCCCCCCCCCCGAAACCCGAGCCCCCCCCTTCCTAAACAGTAAGTGGTGGTGTCGCCCCCCAACCTAAACACTCAGTGGTGTTGGTACCTAAAGCTCCTCTTTCCCTTTCCCTTTCCCTATCCGGGCTCCATGGCGAATCGCCGTGCCATTTTTGGCACCGAGTTAATTCGGAGGGAAGGCGGGCAACAAAGGAAAGAAAGGAGGGACGGAGGATTGAAGGAGGGAAAGAGGGAAGGAGGAAAGGAGGGAAGGAGGGAAGGAAGGCAGGCAGGCAGGCAGGCAGGCAGGCAGGCAGGAAGGAAGGAAGGAAGGAAGGAAGGAAGGACGAATGACAAGAAGGAAGAAAGGAAGAAAGACTGAAGAAGGACTACGACAACGAACGTAGAAGTCAAGAAAGAAAGATGGAAAGAAAGGAAGCGATGAAAATAATCAAGAGAAGAAAGCGAAAGACAACCACAGTTTTTATACTTGAAACTTCCGCCCAGCGGCTTCGCTAGCTCTACTGGTATACCAGCGCCATCGGTTTCTCCAACAGGATACCTCAGCTTATGTCCCCTCTGCTATAAGTATCTTTTTTGAACGAGCTCATGGAGTGAACTAGGTACTTCCCGCATTCTGTCCAGGCATCCTTCGTCCCAGAACATGGGCATGTTCTTGAGGGTATCCTTTTCACCTTGGCTTATAGGGAAACAAGAAATCGCACGCCTCCATTTTAAGATTCGCTATTTGGACACATGCCAGAGCTACCTTTCGCTGGGTTTCTTCGCTTGTTGTCTCAAACAACGGCTCCGAGTCGACCTTTGGACCTGCTTTCCCCAAATGTGGTAGTATATTCCGGCATTTTGCAAGGCCATTGTTTTGGAACGTGGGTGTTCAGCCAAGTCAAGTAAGTTGTTGGAGCTAACCCTGGTTGTTCGGCTAACCACTGGAACGTCCAGGTCAGGTGTGAGAAATTTGGATCATCCCATCGGTACTGCGGAGCCCACTCATTTGGAGTCCCTTTTGTTTGACCCCATTGTCTTAGAATTTGGGTGTTCCCCTGAATTGTTAGTGGGTATGTAACCGAGACGCTGCTTCTTTGACCCGCAGCCGGTTTTGGCCCGCGAATTTGTTGTTGTTGGAGACCAGGCCAATCTAGAAAACCATTTGGATGCGTTTTTTGTGGATTTGTCCCGTTCTTCCCCCGCCGTTAGTCCTTTTCTGGTACTCTTTTGGTACGATCCACAGGTCCCGTTTCCAGGGGAGAAACGGTCGATCTAAGGCCTCAAAGAGCTGGTGCCCCTTTTCCAGCGGTGCCTGGACGCGAAAAGAAGCTCCGAAGCGACACTTCTGGTGCAGGAGCTGCCGCTCAGCGAAAACACTTGGTGCAGGAAGGGAATGACGAGTCCGGGTGTTGGGAAGGAACCAAAAGGGGATTCCCTTAAAGGAAAGCACAAGTTGATGGTTTATGGGGGTCATTCCATGCCTCATTCCCTGCTGAGAATCAGCAAGAACGTGGGTGGGACATCAGGTGTGTGGCCCAGCTTCTGTGATAGGGCCCCGTTTTTCTTGGGCTTGGCAAAACCATGTTGGGGATGGGCAAAGACGCCAAGCACGAGTTGGCACGTGTTCATCGACCAGCATTGTGAGGCTTCGTCAATCTCAACTGGTGTAGGCTTTCTCCATCCACGGGTACCAAGGGAACCCGCCTTCAACCAAACAAAACCGTCATAGGGATGACCCACTTTGGTATCACAGAATGGGTTGTGTTCGACACACGGAAGTTCTGACATTTGCCCAATTCCCCATAGGCACATTAAAGAACCCGAATCAATCAGAACAAGATTCAAGGGCGGCATCCCCCCTTTGCGGGTTCGGCGGCAAATTTGGGAAGATTACGAGGGGTGGTCAAAATTAGCTCCCCCCCTTTCAAGCACCATGTAGAGGGTGAATATGTTTCATGAGACTACCATCTCTGCCGGGAAGCAAGGTATACGTTACACACCCTGAAAGCACATTTTTGGGCACCCTCAGACATGCGACTCTCTTCTCTTTTCCCAAACCATTATCGAGCTTTTGGATGCACTTTTTGTGGTCGGTGCCGCATAAGCCGTGGATAAAAGCATCGGACGCTTCTTCAGCTTCGCTGTAAAGCTTGGGGGCGTGCTGTTTGGGATATTTGTTTGGAGTGTTTCTTGGGGTAAAAGTCAGACACTGGGGTGGTTTCCCTTCACGTGGCTGAGTTTGAAGAATTGCATTTGTGGTGCGGCTAGGGAAAAAACAAGAGCCCCCTTCTGCTTTTGGCTGACGTGTGGGAACATTCTGACCCCCCAGGAAGGAACTTGATAACTGGATCAGAACCCCGGTCCTTCAGTGGGTTGGCTAAACACGAGGGCGGGCTTGACAAAGTGAAGAGCCAAGAGGACTGCAACTGGGCAAACGGGGATTTATCTGGACCTGAAATGAATTCTACTTTCCAAATGGAAACGGGTACTGCCAAATGGAAACGTCTCAGAACTGGGGTTCCCTAAGTTCGAGTTTCGGAATTGCAGTATACCCGGAGTAATGGAAACCCATGGACAAGGACCTATGGGTTGCTTCCTTTTTCCAAGAGCTGTTTTTGAGGGGGGAACCCCTTGTCAGCTTACCCAATGGAAATTCAGTTTATTCAGACCCAGTGGGTTGCTTCCAACTTTAATAAACTGTTTCATGCAGTTTCAAACTATGAACAGTTGAAAGAACAATTATATATATATATATACATATTCCATTTATTTCATGAAACTTCCCCCTTGCTAGTTCCCCATTTACAAGAACCAGCGGCTTCAGGTCATGTCTGGCGTCAAAGCCCTCACCGGCGCAAATCCGCGGCCAATGGCGGTTGTTGAGGAGCCCGGTTGCATTTGGATGGTCTTAGGGAAGACAACAGAAACACCAGCCATTTGAGCTCAGTTTGAGGAGATCCCCATTTTTTTTTACCCCAGTTGTACCTGTTGCAGCCCACTCGGTGATACGGTGGGTGGAGCATCCGTGGTCCAACCTCACTTTTGGAGGAGGTGACATGGCAGCCCTCTAAGTGTCAACCCCCCGCTCGCTGCAACCTTACCTGAGCTATCCCACCGAGGCCTGAGCAAGTTGTCCAGGAGAGACACAACTTGGTTCTCACAACCCTCGAAAGCAGGGATTCGGGATCAAGGGGTTTATCCCCCACTTCTGTGACACAAGAGAATCTTCCCTTTTGTATGGTGGATTAGTCTTTGGGAAGCCGATTTTGTTGTATCACAGAGGTCATCTTCCGCAGCGCTGCTCGAAAGCCAGCCCCTTCCAAGTTTCTACCAGGTCATTTGAGGTTGGGAGCCACCGAGGTCCGGTTTTGGGGGTGAGCCACAAGCAAAAGAGCCAGCAGGTCGCTTCGGAGCCTCCGAAAGGCGATCCCGGGCCAAATCTTGGGCGGAGCTTGGGGCCGGCCAAGCTCCGGAAGGGGGGCGGGTTGCTGCTGGTTCTGCGCTCTCGGCGCCGAAGCCGTGATTTTTTTCCTGCGACCTTTTTTCTTGGAAAAGAGGAGACGGTGCAACCAGAAGAGGTTGTCCAAGGTTGGAAAGGCCGACAGAAACAAAGAGGCTGGCTGGACACCCTTTCTTGGCCCTGCTTTTCAAGAGGCCAAGCGCGGCTGGGGGATTCAGAAGCCCCTTGTCAAAAGCGGGGGTCCAGTCTTTGGGTCCACCTTTTGTCTTCTTTCCAAGGGAATCGGCCAGAGTACCTGGACTTTGAACTTTTTGGGAAGACTATTTTGGTGGTGAACAACAAGTTTAAGTGTTCTTTGGCCAATCCACTCAGGAAGTGAGTTTTGGTCTAGGGCCCAACACTTTTTTCCCCCGGCCCCCGCAATATTGAGCCAGAAAATCCGAGGACGTCCTTGATCACCATGACACACATGCTCTGCGAGCTGCGTGCGAGGTACAAGGAGCAGCTTGAGGTCCATTCAAGACACCCCAAGAAAAATGACCTACCTGGCTTACGGGTCCCAACCCAAAACCGAACACCAATTCTGTTCACAGGAACTTGAGGAGCATTTTTGAAAGGGGCCGCGGCCCTCATGCTCAAGCTTTTAGATGCTCCGGTGGTTAGCCCTTTGCTTCACATGGTTGGCCGCCTGGCAGGCTGAGCAGACACGTTGGGATCACAGCTGTGTTTGCAACTGCACGTGCCAGCTAGAACCCATAGTGTGCCCGGGCAACAGCTTCTTTTGGGAGCTGTTAAAGGGGGCATTGTGGGCTCTGGCTGGCTCTCTCTTCAGTGTTGGGCGAAGGGCATTTGAGAAGTCAGTGTCATTGGCCAAGTCTGCTTGGGTGAAGTGGAGCGAAGCAGAGATCACTGAAGAAGGCAGTGGTGACAGCCCGGCGGTGGAGGATTTACAAAGCAAGGCACAGGAGCAACTGCGGCTGATTCGAAGTCGAAAGGCCTTGAGGGTTTTAGATGTCGCTGCCGGTGGACGCTAGGGTTTTCTTGCTGTATGACGTGGCTCCGCATGATCTATATCATGAACGGATTGTGTTGGCTAGCTGCCCTTGCGGACGAGGATGGTGCATCGTGCTGACCCCTGACATGGACGTTTACCCTGAGCAGATCTCTTTGGAAAATAGTGACCTTAGTACCTTCAGGGCAAGTCTTGATGGGGGGCTTCCGGCTGGTCTTCAAGCTGCCAACGCGTATCGCTTTCGGAATTTGCCGGGAGCTGAGCTGGCGCAAATGAGGCTGGACGCGGGTCATGCTGCAGCTGCATTGGTCCTCCCCCCTGGGGCACCGGCTGGGGCAGTTGGCCCTGTGGTTGCAGTGCAGGCGCCTGCGCATGCTCCCCGTGACGGAGATGGACGCACCTGGGTACTGATTGAAACGGAGGGCGGTGGAACCCGGGGCGATGCAGTAGCCTTGGATGGGTCTGAGGTCATCCACGGAGAGATCGGTCTGAAGAATGCGCAGGGAGCGTGGCGAGCAATCAAGCGAGTCAAGGAGGAGGACTTGGGCAAATACAAGGGTCAGGAGGCGGCGGGGGACGCGCGATTGCTCGGGCTGGGTTTTCAGGGAACAGCCCGGGAGGAGAGGGTCTGGCGGGACGTCAGTCGGGAAATGTCGGAGGAGGCATTTCCTGACTGGGGTGTCCCAGGCCCTCGTACGGCCGCGTGGTGTGTGCGTTTTCTCAATCGCCGGAATGGAGGCCCGAACGATCATCACAGGTGGTGGGTTACCAGCAATTCCTTGAAGCCGGAATCGTGGGGAGTTGCAGAGCATGAGCAGTTGATGAAGATGATTGATCGTTTGGGGCGTTTTGACGGTTTGGACTTGGCCAACTTGGCCGGGATCGAACTGGCATTCCGGAGGCTGCAGCTGATCGAGTATTTCTATTCAGACCGGGGCCCGGGAGGTGGAAAGGCGACCGGCCGTGGTCAGGGCAAGGACAAGAAGGACGAGGAGGGGCTTTACAAAATGGAGGCCAACATCTTCGCTGGGTCGCATCGCGAGTTTGGCGATGTGATGGTCAGTCCTGACCTCATGGAGTATGTGTCCAAGGAGATTGAGAAGGAGGCCGCGGTGATGAAACAGGTCAGGAAGGCCCGCGAGGAGCGGGCCGCGGCTTCGAAGTGACACAGGAGCATCTCGGCAGGGCTCAATGGAGGCCTTGCCCTCGGAAGCTGATTTGCCTTTTTGCGGTGACTCTGACGCTGGTTTCTCTGGCAGGGGGGATGTGCAAGGAGGTGGACTGGCTGACAGTTTTGATTTACACGGCAATGGGAGTGATCGGCAGCGTGGAATTTTCCCTCTACCCCTGCCTCAGGAGATGGTTGGCCCGGGCCGCACGCGGCCTATCAGCAGATGTGTCACTCGCCGCCTGGAGATGAAACAGCATGTCCAGGAGTGGGTGAGAGACATCGTGGTGACCCTCAACAGTATGTACGCTGGGGTGGAACACAGGGGCAGTTTTGAGGACAACCATTCTGTGACTCTGGCCCAGCATTTGTGTCTTCAGAGAATTCAGATGCGGTGACGGGGGTTGGCAAACCGCCTCCGTGTTTTTCAGGTTCGGAAGCCTTGAACGAGCTTCGGGCCAAATCAGGCTATGCCGGTGACCCGGCAAGCCTGGCTCCATTTCAGTTGGACCTTGTGTCGCTTCCCCCGAAGGGCAGCTGCCCCGCTTCGCTGGACAGAATCCTCAAAGGGGAAGCTGAGAATGTTTCTGATGTGGTCGTGAATAAAGTTCTTCCCGAAGATGAGGTTCGGGATACTATGATCCGCTTCTTAAGAGCCATAAACGTGTTTATGCGGCTTTTGTGAGGAGATTGTTTGAAGCTGGGCTGATTGAGTTCCGGCGTGGTTGCAGGGAACGAGTCGGAGCTTTCACTGTTTGGAAGAAGAGCGGTAGGCAACGTCTGGTGGTTGACTCCCGTCGGGCCAACCAGTGGCTTGGGAAACCCAAGAAAGTTCACCTTGCTACAGGTAGCGCTTTTGCAAAGATTCAAGTTGATGATGGAAGCCCGCTGGAGGTGGGAGGTGTCGACATCTCTGACGCCTTTTACAACATCGAGCTTCCTGCACCTCTGCGTGATCTCTTTGCATTATCGCCGCTGGTTTGTCGTGATGCGGGAGTGTCAGAGACGGTTGAGGGACCCTGTCCTGATGACGCAATGGTTTTCCCTTGCTTCAGAGTTGTGCCAATGGGGTGGACCCATGCTTTGTGGGTGTGTCAGCAATGTCACGAGCGTATTGTGGCTGGGATGGAGGACATTGGGCGGGCAGGGCGTTTTGTCGACAGTGCGCCGATTCCCAAAATAAGCCCGTTCATCCACACTGAGTACGTTGACAACTTTGTGGCACTTTCGCAGAGTCCGGACTAGTGTGTTCATTGGCTGCCAAGGTTGGGAAGAAGCTTTCAGAGAGGGGACTTCCTACTCACGAGGTCGAGGCTGGCGTGGGGCTGGAGTGCCTGGGGTGGAAGTTTGGCGACAAGCTCCCAATTGTGCAGATTACCCGAAGAGATTGTGGAGGTTGAGATTAGCAACACAAGAGCTGCTGAAGGAGGGAAGGGCGTCCGGCAAGTTGGTGGAGAAACTCATTGGGCACTTCACTTTTGCTGCTCTTCTACGGCGGGAGGTTCTCAGTTGTTTTCAGGCGGTCTACGTTTTCATCAGGCGGTGCTATGACAAGGAGGTGGTTTTGTGGCCCGAGGTAAAGCGAGAACTATTCTGGGCGTCATCGCTGCTTCCCCTTGTGTTTAGGGACCTGTCTGCTGAGTGGGCCACTTCGGTATTCGCAACTGATGCGTCTTTTTGGGGGCGAGGAGTTGTTGTGACGGACAGGGCAGCTTCTGATATTCAAGCAATTGGAGAGTGTTCCGATCGGTGGAGGTTCTCTGTCGAGGAGGAGGGTTCAATTATTGGACACCCCGTCCTGGCAGGCGACAAGCCCTTGGGCGAAAGCGGAAAGCCGGAAGAAGCAAAACAAGCAGTGGCCGGGATGCCCGGGGGTGAGGTTCCGGACGTGCCGCTGGAAATGCTGGAGGGGCCTTGGAGGAGGGTTGAGTCGGCCAAGTGGAACAGGTCCGAAGCAATTCCGATTCTTGAGGGCAGAGCCCTCGTTTGGCTTTTTCAGCATTTAGCGCGGTCTCAACATGCTCACGGGAAGCGGCATCTGGTGCTTAGTGACAGTTTGACAGCAACGCTTTCCTGGGCAAAGGGGAGATCTAGGGCAAAAACTATGAACAGGGTTTGTTGGCAGTTGGGGGCGGTTACCTTGGCAACTGGCATGAACATCAGTGTTCGACGGATGCCTTCGGAGCTCAACCCCGCTAGAGGCAAGCCCCTCGGTCCTTTCGACCCCAGGCAGATTGTGCGTGATCTCAATGCTGCAGCGGACCGTGAAAAGGGTCCTGGTCGCTCATGGAGAGACGGGGCTTTTGGTGCGCACCAAGCGCGGATTGGCGGAGAAGGAAGTGGACTTGCCTGGGTGCCGGAACGAGGACTCGATGAAGGCAAAGCGGGCGAAGTTGAGGAAGAGCCTGCATGGAGAGCCGGAGGACAACGCAGGGCCAGTCACTTTCCTGGAGCGAAGGTCGGTGTCCCACAGCCGCGAGCAGTCCTACCCGTCGGCCTACGACAGTTTTGTGATGCGGGCGTCGGAGCAGGGGATGAGCCTCGCCACTCTGGCAAAGCTGGATTCGGCTCTGGCCCAATACCTGGACTACATTTTGGGAGGGCGAGGACCTGTCAGCGGGTCAGACTCTCCTAGCGGCGGCGGTTTGTGGGGGATCCGCCGAAGGGACGAGTCCCGCTGCCGTGGAGCATGTTGTGCCGGGCAGGCCAGGAGTTGGTGTCCATGGGATGCATAGGAGGTGGCGATGTGGCTGTTCACGGTGTGGGCCGTTTGCGGCCGTCCGGGAGAAGTTCATCGGCTGCAGGTGGGGCATCTGGTCGCGCCCAATCGAATGAGCAGACACTGGATCGTGGTGCTCAACCCGGGTCAGGATATGAAGGCGGCCACGCCGTCAAAGACCGGGGAGACGGACGAGGCGGTGGTGGTGGATCAGGAGTACCTGCAGTGGTTGGGCCCGCATCTGGGGAAGCTCGCAAGGGGCAGGCCCGTGGAAGAACGGCTCTTCAAGTTCGAGATGGAGGAAGGGACTCGAGCCTTTTCAGTGGTGTTGCGAAGCCTGGGGTACGTGCCAAAGGGGATCAACTGTGCCTATCAGATCAGGCACGGGTCGGCCTCCACGGATGTGCTGGATGGCACTCGCACGCTCGAGCAGGTGCAGAAGCGGGGCCGGCGGCGGACCATGCAGTCAGTGCGGAGGTACTCCAACGGCGGCCGGATCGCACAGGTGTATCAGTCACTCAGCCCGCAACAGCAAGCAGAGGCCACCGCAGCAGAGCAGCGGATTTCAAAGATTTTCGCACTGAAATATAGCAAACACGGAGTTGGGCTTGAGATTTTTTCGGGATGTGGCCGGTTGTCGCAAGCGTGCCGGCGTTTCTCCGGGAGCCGCATTCCATGGTTTGAGATCGACATTGCGCATGGCCCGCAATTTGACTTGTGCAAAAAGAAGGTGCGACAGGAGGTCCTTGAGCTTATCCGTCAGGGCCATGTGGCTTGCATTTGGTTGGGTACCCCTTGTAGCTCTTGGTCCAGAGCACGGCGATGGGACGGACGGGGGCCTGGTCCAATCAGGGATGATGGGGACTTCATCATGGGGTACCCGGATGTTTCTGAGAAAGACAGGGCAAAGCTTGATATCGGTAACTCCCTCATGCGTTTCTCTGTGCAGGTCTTCCGGCTTTGTCTTCGTTTAAGAATTGCGGTTATTTTGGAGAACCCTCATTCTTCAAGGCTGTGGTTGGCGCCAGCTATTAAACATTTGCTGCAGCGACGAGACGTGTGCACTGGCTTTTGTGACTTCTGTCAATACAATACAGCTTGGCGGAAACGGACTCGATTCATGTTTGCAAACGTCGACCTGGCACCAAGGCTGAAGCAGTGCAGTGGCAAGAAAGGTTTTTGCAGCCGCACTGGAAGCAGGCACGTGCAACTGGAAGGCAGCGAAAACGGGGTTTTCCGTACTCTGCTTGCACAGCCCTACCCAATCCCTCTCTGCAATCAGCTGGCACCGATTTTATGCAATGCAGTGTTTCCATCTTCTGCGGATGCTCTTCAGACGTTTTTCGGCCTGTAGCCAGTTACCAATCTGGGTGTCCTCGATTTATGTTTGGATGTGTCCGTTTGCCGAATGGCAGCGGTGCACCTTCGCGAGGGCAAACTTTCAACAATAGATTGTATCTGGCCCCGGACAAAAGAAGCGGATCATAATTCTGTTCACAGGGACTTGAGGAGCATTTTTGCAAGGGGCCGCGGCCCTCATGCTCAAGCTTTCCCGCCCTCCCAACCCTTGTCACGAGGATGTGTCCGTTTGCCGAATGGCAGCGGTGCACCTTCGCGAGGGCAAACTTTCAACAATAGATTGTATCTGGCCCCGGACAAAAGAAGCGGATCATGTTTTTGTTCTTTTGTTGCGGGCTGAAACGAAGGCGGCTGAGCGGTTGCACACAGTATCGCCCTTTAAAGTACCCAACTCCATTCGAATTGTTTAGCCCACCCGAATCCAACCGAAGAAGGGGTGCCAAAAGGGGGGACCTCACTTCCCCAAGTTCGTGAGACGAGAAGAGCTCCACACGCAGACCCCGAAAGGTAAGGGCGAATTCTTTTGGGGAATGGCTTGGAACAAACCAAGCATTCTGCTTTTGGGCGGCTTTTTTTGACTATTATCCCTTGTTACTTTTATTGGAATACATATACATATATATATATATATATATTTTTGTCTTTATATTTTTGAAACTTCCGCCCACCGGCTGCGCCGGCTCTACTGGTATATGTTGTGTTTCCCTCCATGGTGTCGGGGATATATCACCTGATCGGTGAGGGGTTTTGAATAAAATCGCAGTCTCCTGAAGCTGGCCGGCACGGGCCGGTATGGCAAGGGTCCTGGCAGCCACTCGGCTCCCAATGCTTCTTGATGTGTGGCAGATGGGGGTGTTTTTTTTGCTTTTTTTGAGAGAACTCGTTTCGGTCCTCTAGGGGATGATTCCCCATTCCCTAGCAGCAATCATTCCTTTCAACAAACGTTGCCTCCATGTTGTCTTTCTTCAAAATCTGGAACGAAGGATCGTTACCCGGCCGCTTGAACCACAGAACTGGGGGGATATGTCATTTCTTGAACTCGGGCTTCGTAGGGTTGATTTTAAGCGGAAACCAAGAGGACACCGTCCGCTTCGTTGCCAAAAACAAGCTATTTTGAAGTTGAGCCCAAGCAGCTGCTTGTTTTTCCGTTTCCCGCCAAAGGGTTCATTGGAAACGCCCAGAGACATCTCAGGAGGCTGCATTCCAGGAGCAGTACCGCCAGACCAGCGGGGATCGAAGGCCGCTCTTTGCAGCTTGGATGCAGCTTCTTGCACGGAGAAACACAAGCCGCAACTTCTCTCTGTTTGCCCAACGGATGCAGTTTGAGTGGAACTCACCAGTCAATGGATCAACTCTTGAAGGGGAACTATGGGCGTCTGAAAGTGATCCGACCCGCCCATTTTCTGGGTTTTGAGCTCGCCGAAATTCGCGAATGAGCGATCGGAAGCCATGGTGTGGGTCCTCGGATCCGTGATTTCAGGTGTTGGATTCATAGAAATTGCAGAGCCACTGTGGATGGTTACAGAATCCGCAGAAACAAGGCACCAGTTGGGATGGATTACCCTAGCCTACCAACTGGTGCAGGAATTTGTCCATCCACAGCAACCTTTTTTTTGAGGGGGGGGCGGGGGTGAAGTTTCATAGCAACACCCTCAAAAAAGGTTCACTTTTGGTTTCGGCAGCTCAGCTCTATGCACAGAACCTTTTGTCTATGATTTTTGATGACACATGACAACTCAAAATGGCTTGGCTGCTGGACATACATTCCCAATGTAATCATGTCCACCAAAGGGTCCCAAATTGAAATTCATACCCATTTTCAGCTTGGCTCTTTTTTTGGTGATGATCGGTTGGCCAAATTTCCACGGTCAGGTCCTGACGGTGCAGAGCCAGATTTTGCCCAAGTACGGCTTCAGCGGCGACGTGAAAGGCAGAGTTGGGGTTCACACATGTTGCCTTTGGCCCCAATAAGGCCAGGAGGCTGTGTGTTCAGGTACTCTTTCGGGGTGGTTTTGAAGCGACACTGAGAGGGAACCACCATATTTGGGGTTCCCAATTTGGAGACATCATGTCAGCCGGGCGTCCTAAATGGAGGCTTTTGGGGGGTTTGAACCAGCTTTCTGGCCGTTGACGTTTAAAACGGGGAATATAGAGACCCCTATTAGCCCCCCAAAACAATCGGTTCAGGAATTGCAACGAATCCCCCGCAAGCTTCTCAGAAGTGGCCTTTGGTTTCAGCTAGGTCCTGCAGTAGTTCCCTTTTACCCTTTTTTGGGGGAGGGTTCCCCTACTAAAATAGACTCCAGAAGAAAAGCATCGGGCACCCTTATTCTAACCTCTCAAATCTGGAGGACCTAGACAATTGGGGCCAAAAGTCGCAAGGGTATTCTCCGAGTTTCTCTTACCACCGCCGCTTTCTTGTCTGAGAGCCAGGGGTGGCCAACATGAAGATGGAGGTGGGCCTGCAGAGCCGGGAGGACAAAGCTTCAAAACCCAATCCTACAACTTCAGATGACACGTTTGGCTTTCGGGGAATGGCAAAAAGTGGGAAAGTGCGCCAGGCAGTAAGGCACTGATTTTTGTTTTTTGGTTTTGGTTTTTGGTTTTGGTTTTTGGTTTTGTTTTTTTTCAACAGGTTTTGGTTTTTGGAGAGGACCCCTTCAACATCGAGCTTCCATTTAACGAATGATGTTGGGGTAGCATTTGTTCCCCCTGAGATTCCACTGCCCAAAATATTGGGTGCCCCTCTTTAAGTGATGTCTTTAATGTGAAACCGAACTGTGGAGGTCCCCCAAGTGAGTACGGATTACCTTGCGCTTCTTTTCTGGGGGTAGAAACGCCCAATCTGTAGTTTTGTCAGTTGCCCAGGGTACTGGACATGGGAGAATCAGGCTTCGCCCCTGGTTTTGTTGATCCTTTTGCGAGGCCCCTTCGGTTTTTCCTTTGGTTTCCTTCCGTGTTCTTCGGTGTCCTTTGCTGTAATAGTGGATACCAACTCCGCACCCGGGTTTCGTACCAACTCCAAGGACACATTTACATGGGTTTTCTGGGTTCAGCTGGTTTTCTGGGTTCAGCTGGTTTTTTCTAGGACAAGGTGGTGTGGAAGCTCATGGTGGACATCCACAAGCTGCTGGACTTGCCTGACTCCGCCGCGGATCGGACCCTGACGCTGGAGTTCGGCTCTGCTGCTCAGGCTGCCTCGATGCGACGGGATGGAAAAAAATAGCACGATGCTGGATACGGGTGTGTCCTTTTTTGGGTTGGAGCCACCAACATGGTGGAGTTCCCTTGGTTTCAAGTTACCCTTTTCGCGAACATAGAACCCACCAAACGGCCCGTTTTAAAGCAGATTCTTGTCTTCCAGGACTTGTCTGTGAGGTTCCATGTTTGCGGATGGGAGGGTAATTTTGCAAAGTGTCAACTGCCGATTGGCTGATGGCTTAAAGGGGAACCAAAAGCATATTGTTTGAACAGGCGTTTCAGCGTGTTTAAACAGGGGGACGGTGGATGCCCAAATGTTGCAAGTAAGCTAACCATAGCTAGCCACACACAACCCCTTGTTCCCTTGGCTCCCACTTGCAGTATCCCTACCTGCATTCCAACAATCAGATCGAAGTGGATGAAGGGCATTTTAAAGAGGACAGTAGTCTCCATTTTTTTCCGATCGTGCTTGTTGGAAGGAGGTGAATGATAGCTTCGGATTCATCAGGAGGATCCTATTGAGAGAAATCCTCAAGTGAATTCATCCCCTCCGTTCTCTAAGGGGGAGAATACCCCTCATTAGTTGGGTCAGGATACATCCAGAGTGCACATTAATGAGTTTATTTGGGGGTGACTTTTTTTGCTGGTTTTAAAGGGACACCAAGAGGACAACCACCATTTTGGGGGGTCCCCCCAAAACGGACTCACCCATTTGTCACACTTTGAATGAGCTCACCAGGGGCTAAAATGAGATCACCCATGACCATCCCTCATTTTGCAGAGTTTGCCACCTGAACAACCGTTTATTCACGAGGTTCTTTGGCAACAGGGAGTTCTTTCTTCCAGGTCACCCCTCATGAAAAAAACATAAAATTGGGGGGGGGGGGGGGTGTCAAGGGGGTCAGTCGTTGTTGAGGGTGGACTTGTTGATGTTCTTCTCTAATTTGCGGGGCGTTATTCTTTTGGGACCTGTCCTGCTTTGGGGGTCCCTTACAAAAACAGACCCCAAGTGTTTCATGCAGGTTGCGGACATCTCCATCTACATCTGAGAAGAGTCGGAGCATCTTTGCCCTGGGGAACAAAACGGAGAACCCCAATGCCGCCTCCTTTCCCGTAGCCCACCCGAAGTCCATTATGGCCCAATGAGCAAGAGACGACATGCCCATGTCGAATGGGCATGAATTGGACATGAACCCTTCAGTGGAAAATTTAAACAGGGAGTCATGCCCATTTCATTTGTGAGGCTGTTCCCCATTGAAGTTCGTACCCCCTCACTGTGGGGGTCTATCACCTATCGAAACCCATGCGGCCCTCGACACTTTCCCCCATTCTCCTTACTCAACTGGGTTCGCGGTCCTCTGAAATATTCTTTTTCTCTCAGAGTTCAGCAACAAGGAGTCCATGGTTTGTTATTGGAGCAGTTAAGGAAACAAGAAGTCCATGGCGGCTAAGACGGCTTGTTCCCTTTTGGTTTCCCTTTGGAACCGCCCAAGAAGGAGTCCATTTCCCGCCGCGAGGTGGAGCGGGAGGTGGCGGCGGTGTTCCCTCAGGCGTTGGCCGGGCGGCTTGGGGGGGGGGGGGGGTGAGTCACGGGTTTAACTCACATTGTTTTAATCACCTCCTTTTGGTTCCCCGTGTTGAGCATATCTAAACACCTCCCTCCTGTTGGTTCTGCATTGTTTGAATTCTTATTGTTCAAACTCAAAGTCCGATTGTTTCAACATGTCTAAACACCTCCCTGCAGTCACGGAAGCTGAAAGGTGTTTGTTTGAAGGCTACTTTCCTTTGGGCAAAGCCCCCACAGCCCACTTTCATGATTGTTGGAAAGAGGGCATTGTTAAAACAATCCTGTCTCTGGGTATGTTATATCTATATCTAACTCTAAATGCATATATAGATCTATATCTATATATCTATATATCTATATATCTATATATCTATCTATCTATATATCCACATATATATATATATATATCCATATATATATATATCCATATCGATGTATCTATGTATATATATATATATATCGAACAGATGCACACCAGTATCTCTTTCTATTTTTGACAATCTGCATTTCGTTCCCCTTTGCATCTCGCCCCCAGGCGCAGCTCCAGCTCAGCACCTTGGAGAAGCTCGTGGGGGCGCGCCTGGGGAAGCCTCAGCAGCCCCCAGGCGGGACGTGGAATCGGTGGAATCCGGGAATTCGGGGCGGCTTTTTAGGTTTTTAGGTTGTTTTTAGGTTGTTTTTTAGGTTTTAGGTTGTTTTTTTTTGCAAGGTTTTGTTTCTTCTGTTTTTAGCGGCTTGTTATTTAGGTTTTTAGGTTCTGTCCATTTTTTGCACGGCAACACTCAGTCGGTGTTTTGCAAGCCCATACCGTTTGGACAGGGAATTCGCCACGTGGTACTGTGGATGGACAACATCCTGTGCCAGCTACGAAAAACCATGGTTTCAAAGTGGCGCAGGATTTCGTCCATCCACAGTAGGGTTTCAGGGATGTGGAATCCATGGTCGAATCTGTAGCTAAAATTCAGCTTGGCAAAAGCATCGCTCATCCTTTTGGCACTGAGGATGGACGCCCGGTTTTTCCCACCCCAAATCTGTTTTTGACATCCACGGTGCCTTTTGGTAAATTTGGCAACCAAAAAATTATCGAGGTCAAACAAGCTGACAGGGTTCCCAACCCTGGAAAATGCCACGTTTACCCACACGGGCGCTTCCTATACTCAGCCCCTTTTGGGATGGTAAACAAGAAGGGAAGCCGAACATGGTTTCACTATCTCTGAGCCCAACGCCAACTGTTCACCTTTCGTGGCATACTAAACCATCTTACGGTTGGCATTTAAAGGGAAACTGAAGGAAACTAACCATTTGCACTCGGGTAACAGAGAACTGAAAGGAATCCAAGGCCCAAACCCAGAGGGGTCAAGGGTGTTTCCTGAAAGCGAGCATTTGGGTGTTCCCTGAGTGGTTCCCAGCCACCTGGTTCCTGATGTTTTTAGATCTTTTAGTTGGTTTAGTGGTTGGGTTTCCAAAATTAAACCCACTAAGAGTTCGTCACTTCCAGCAGGTGGTTGAAAACGGACAGCCCAGCTTAGGGCTGAGTCCTGACTCGCTTTGGGAAAGGGGAAATAGCAAATTGCAGTGGACAAAATCCAGCAGTGTCAACATCGGATTAGTATACCCATGGTAAACCGGCCGGTCCAGGACCGCCCCGATACTACCCAATTTGAAAAACTGGAGTTCGCCTAAAAAACACCCACAACAAAATAAACACCAAAACACTAGAACACCTAAATAGAACATCAACAAAATACTGGAGTGCACAAAAGTAAAACACCTAAATCAACCACCCGTAAAACTCTGGAGTGCACAAACATAAAACACTTAAATAAAACACCCCATGGTTTACCCCCCCCCCCTGTGTTCTGTTTTTCAGACCATTGATCTCCCGCAACATTTGGCTCAAGGGCCCCTTTTGCATAATCACGACCATCCGAGCGTGAAGACAAAAGAGCCATTCATCCATTACTGGCATATTGGACTCTCTCCGGAATAGATTCAGGGACCAACAACGACCTCAACTACCACAGGGTTCCAGTTCCCTCCGGGGATAGGCACCTGGGGCAGTGGGCCTCAATTCGTGGTAGCGGAGCAGGTTTTCCGCAGAGATCCAAGGGAAGATGTCATCAGATGGAGAAGGCTTCATGGAAGCCTATACAAGCACGGCAAAGCCGAGCTATACGGAGGAAACACTAAATTTATCGATGACCGCCAAGCAGCCGCCATCGTACGACGGAAAAGTCAGCTGGTTCAGGTATGAAGAACTCGTGGACGACTGGGTGACCATCACAACGGTGGAAGCACCAAAGAGAGGACCTCTCCTGAAGAGCAGACTTACAGGAGATGCATATATGTACAAGGCAGTCCTCCAAAATGACCTTTTGCAAGATCCTGATGAAGGAGTCAACTATTTCAAGAACACGCTGAGGAAGTACTTTTTGAAAGGTGCGACCAACGTGTATCTGTACAGACTTCTCAGTTTCTTCAACCATAGAAGGCAGAACAAGAGTTCCTCATTTTTACCTCAAAATTCGAAATCCTTCTCATGAGATTGAAGGCAGCATGGATGGACTTGATGCCCGTTTTCACGGCACAGTCCCCATCATTTCGACAGTCCGTTCAGGACGCAAATGCAAGAACAATTGCTCGACATCAGCAAGCAGCCGGTGTTCGAGCACCGCCTCCAGCCCTGCTCAATGAGGACGATCCTACAGTCCTCAGACAGTATATCCAAGGAATGCAGGCCAGACAGCGGGACGCATTTCCCTTCGGGGATAATCTCATTGCACAGCTTTTCATCATTCAAAGTGAGTTGTCAGATCAACAAAGAGAAAGACTCACAAGTGCATTTTCATTGAGAAACATCTCACTCGAGAATTATTCCTATGAGATGCTGAAGACGCACTACCATGAACTCTTCATCACGACGAGGACATCGATCCAAGATCCATCCATCCGACCTCAAGGAGGCAACCGAAGCAACACATTCTTCATCATCGAACAAGGTGAATACGAAGGAGAAGAAGGCTTCTGGGTCGAGGATGAAGAAGGACTTGAAGGATTCATGTCAAACAACGATGAAGAGACGTTCTGGGTCCTCGAGGAGAACGATGCGTTCATAGCAAGGAAAGTGTCGGGGCGGAACTTCAAGTTCAAGAAGAGAAAAGAAAAAGGAAAATCAGGAAACAAGAAGGGCAGTCCCCAACGAGGTGGCTTCAAACCCTTCAGAAAAAGCGGTTCTGGCGGAAAGGCCAATATGGCCAACGAAAACTATGATCCCTACGACCAGGCATATTGGGGAAAAGGCAAAGGAAAGAAGGGAAAGAAAGGAAAATCAAAATTCCAATATCCCTATGATGGAAACAAAGGTTATCCATCCTATGAGAGTGGCAAAGGAAAGAGCGGACAGGAAAAAGGAAAATCCAAGACGTTCGCAGCCACCGCAGAGAAGACGGAGGAGCAGCCCGCCATCCAGCAGACTGCACCATCCATAGAGCCTACCTATGCCGGTTGGACAGACCAAGATTGGGATCAATCATGGACATGGAACGAACATGGCTGGTACTCATCCCATGAGACATCCAGCACAGGACAAGCGTTAATGGCATTCCATGATGCATATGAGTATCCTGGGAAAAAGGCCATCCACGAGAAGCTGATCCAATCAGATACAGTTTCAGAACACAATCTGTCCGTCACAACAAATCACAGCCTTCTGGCAACAAAGCTGATGGCGCCTGTCATCAAGCCTCAGCGCAACCCGACCTATGCGATTCTGGACAATGGATGTACCAGATCTATGGGCCAGCTGGCATGCAATCCAGCGTTTTACCCAGGCAATCGAACCAATGAAGGACGTCATCTCCTATGAGTACATCCCGGCCGAGACCAAGTTCACTTTTGCAAACGGAGAGACCGCCAGGGTAAATTGGACCCTGCATCTTCGATATCACACAACTCCTCCGTGCAGTACCAACATCGACGTCCTTGAACAAGGAACTGTACCGATCCTTCTCAGCATCAGCCAGATGCGGAACCTCTACATGACCATCGAGCACACACCTCAATGTGATAAGATCACATGCAAGGCCTTTGGCATGAACCGTCAAGCAGTTCCAGTATCCGGTACAGGACATGCACTCGTCGATCTCGCTGGAGTTGCAAGAGTGAAGGCACATGGAGAAATTGCTCACAAGGGCCTCACCAACTATGTCTATGACGATGATAACAGCATCAAATTTCCCTCCGGGGATCTCACCAGGAGCGAAACTGTTTGTGCAGCAAAATCATCCGAGACAAAGGAGGACCTAGCAACTCCTAAGATCATTGGGTCTCAAAAGCAGGACCTTGGATCCTTGACAAGAAGAACAAGCAGCTCATCCGTGTGCACATCACGCCCCGAAAGGCGCTGTTCACACCAAATGGAGCCAAGGAATGTCCAATCAATCCTGATCACATTAGCCGAGAACGTACCACGGAAATCATTGATGCATCCGCAGGTGGAGATCCAGACATTTTGGAAGACAATTGGAGACTTACATCCCAGGCAAATAAACCAATGATTAACCTGTGGATAGGTAAGACCATTTTCACCTTCTCGGACAATTCGCTGAAGGACGAAGAAGCAGGTTCAGGATCGGCAGCAGACAGGATCATCGACAAGAGGGGCCGGTCGACTATTGAGCCAGATCCTTTCGCACCATCCTCAGAAGAACCAACATCGCTTCCGCTTGCCCTAGGCAGAATCCACAAGCGATTGTCGAATCCCGAAGAGTTGAAGAAACTCCACCTGCAGCATCATCACATGACCACAGATCAATTTCGATTTAGAACCCGAGCACTTCATTTGCCGAAATCAACATTCGATCTATTTGACAAGATCCGAAGTGAGTGTGAAGTTTGCCAAGTGGCAAAACACGCACCATCACGAAGCAAGACAAGCGGACTTCGAGCGGACACCTTTGGTGACATGACGTTCATTGATCACTGTCAAGTTCCTCTTGGAACTGGAGAACACATCATTGTCTTTGTCATCCTGGATGGAGCAACAACATTGCTCACTGCAGAGGCAGTGACAACTACGCAAGAAGTCGAGAACATCACTGTCCTCAGGAACTATTTTGACCAGTACCACTTGCAGCCCAAATCAGTTGTTGCAGATCAAGCCTTCATGACAGACGCATGGGAACATTTCTATCACTCCCTTGACATCACACCGATATCCTTGGGACCGAATACACCATGGCCAAATCGAGCTGAAGCAGCAGTTCGACTCCTGAAGGCACAACTCAAGATCATGCTAAGTTCCATCAAGGCAGGCACTGCGCCTGCAACACTGAAGAAAGTGACCTACAGGCAGCTAGTGAAGGCCGCTGCAACTGTCAGGAATCAGACCGTCACCTACGGGGGAGTAACACCATTGGAGCTCGCATTCGGAAGACGACCAGCAGATCTCATCCAACTCGATGTCGCAACACCAACTCAGTTGACGATTGACAGGAATGAAGAAGAGATGACAGCCATCCAGATCAAGCAGCTGTCAAAGCAAGCTTTCCAAGAAGCACGTCAATCCGAGGACATCCGACGAGACCTTGCTCAAAATCTCCGAATG